AATGCCAACAAAGAAAGAGGAGACTCCCTTACATAATAATGGTTTGTCGTCTGATAAGTGCCATAGGGAGTCGAATAGATTCGTTCAGTAAAAAAGTGCAAATAAGAGATTCATCAAACAGGATAATATTATTTAAAAAAAAAAAATTTGATATTCAACAAAAAGAAAAATGATCTTACAATGCATCCATATCCACTCAAACAAAGGCTAACTGTGCAGTTGCACCACTGGAACAACGATCAGCAAATGACAGTGCAGCCCAGCACACACATCGAAACAAGAAGCAGCAATAAGGGACTGTGCACCAATGCAGGACTACTGCTGCTGTCACTTAACTGAGAGATATTCAACGGAACTGAACCTGTAGAAGTATTAGTTAGCATATTTTGAGATTTTAATATTTCAGCAACGGTTGACTTATTAGCTGTTTCGCTTTCGTTCGTAGAACCTACGGTTGTGCCGTTTTCTTTTACTCCATTATTATTTTGTTGCTCCAGAGTCGATATATTTTTTTCTGTGTTTGGTCCATTTTCAGCTGTTGTTTCCATCGGTCCATTTTCCTCATTATTGTTGATTTGGCCTTCTGTACTGTTCTCAGCTTTGTTTTGTTGTTCTGCTTCGGCAGCTTTTTTCGCTTCTTCTTCTGCTGCTGCAGTCTTTGCCTTTTGAATAGCTTCCTTCAAGTTGTTTACAGCTTCAGTCGCTGATTCTGCTTGTTTCTGTGCTTCGGCAGCCTCCTGCTTGACGGCTGTGGCGGTTTTGTTAACCTCAATTGCGTAATCTTTTTCTTCATAGTCTTTAATATACTCGTTGATATCTACATTAAAATCCTCATTTTTAACCTCCTCTTCGTCTGGGAGGATAAATTGGAGCCTCGCATAGGTACTAATAGCACTATTCAGTTCATCAGCAGTCATTACAAGTTTTTCTGCGGCAGCAGAAGCAGCCTCAGCTTTTTTATTCACATCATCTGCAACTTTTTTCACCTCTTTGGCAGTCTCAGTGCACCGTTTTACAAGTTCGTTGGCTTTTTTTTCTTTCTTATTATCAGTATCACTCTTTAATACACTTTCAATATCTTTGGCAAATTCTCTGCACTCATTCGCGTCACTCTCAGCACTTTGAGCTGCTACTTTGCACTCTTCCCTTGCTTCGTTCATTGAAGAGAACTTCTCTTCTATATCCTTTTTTTCAACCTTTATTTTAGCAGCCAATTGTCTCATTTTCTGCAAAGTTTTTTTTACCTCAGATTGTGTAGGGGCCGTATCACCAACATCTTCCGCAAATGCCACACTCGCACAGCACTGCAGAAGTACCAACAGGTACACCACGCGGCGCAGTTGGACGAACATCGTTGTCATGATTGTCACTGTGGGTTGCTTGGGTCTGTGGTAACAAGGAA